ATGTGAAATGGCCCAGCCCACTCCAGGTGATGCCACCCCTAGGCAATCAGTCTGAGTTGTGTAAGAACAGGCTGAGCAAGCCATGGAGAACAAGCCAGTGAGCAGCATCCTCCATGGCCTCTGCTTGAGTGAGTTCCTGCTTTAGCTTCCTTCAGTGATGGACTGATCAGTGGTGTGAGCAAAACAAACCCTTCCCTCCCCAGGTTGCTGACCAGAACTGAAAATTCTTAATTCAAAATAGCAAAGGGGGGGGGGCGGAGAGATGGCTCAGAGGTTAAGAGCATTACCTGCACTTCCAAAGGTCCTGAATTCAATTCCCAGCAACCACATAGTGGCTCACAACCATCTGTAATGAGGTCTGGTGCCCTCTTCTGGCCAGCAGGCATACACACAGACAGAATATTGTATACATAATAAATAAATACATATTTAAAAAAAATAGCAAAAGGCCCTGAAAATCTTTAAAGGATTCTCAAATTTTTTTCTACTGTTGTGATAAACACCATAACCAAGGCAACTTCTAGAAGGGATTATTTTGGGCTTAGATTTAGGCGGCTAGGGTTAATAGTAACAGGGCCTGCACAGTGGCAGACAGAGCAGCTGGAGCAGCAATGAAAACTCACATCACAAACAGCAAAGAAGAAGCTAAGAGAGTTCACTGGAAACAATACAGTCTGCCCCCAGTGACATTATTACTCCTCCAGCAAGACAACACCTCCTAAACCTACCCCAAAAAAAAACTAGAGACCTAGAATTCAGATGCCCAAGAATCCAGGGGACATTTCATTCAAACTACCACAGTGGCCCGGGAATGCACATGGTGCACAGACATGAGACAAACACAATACGTGCAAAATAATTTAATTAATTACAAGTACAAATGTATGTTAAATGCAACCACATAAAGAACCATGCAAGAGCAGGGCGGAGGTAGCACACACCTTTAATCCCAGCACTTGGGAGGCAGAGGCAGGTGGATATTTGTGAGTCTGAGGCCAGCCTGGTCTACAGAGCGAATTCCAGGACAGACTCCAAAGCTACAGAGAAACGCTGTCTCAAAAAACCAAACAAACAAAGTACTATACAAAAAATATACAACAGCACCAATACAAACGACCAATTCAAAAAATTGGCAAGGACAAAGAAGTTAAAGACAGGCAAGAACACATGAAAAGAATGTTCAACATACTAATTATTAGAGCAATACAAACATACTAGGTTTCTATAAAATGAGTAAGTGTGTTGCTACAGAGAGTGATGATTAAGTCATCATAGAAGAGTCCAGCACGTTCACAAGAAGTTAATACAGAATTATTACATGACACAGTACTTACATAACAAAATGAAATCACTTGTATACCCCCAAATTTGTACAAATGTTCAAACTGCAACTTTTGCCCACTTCCCAAAGTGGGCAAAAGATGGAAGCAAGCCAAATATCATAAGCCTATAAATGATTAAATAAAATGTGCCCTAACCGTAAAATGGAATATCATTAAGTATAAACAGAGTACCAGCACAGCCAAAAAATGCATGAACCTTGCAAACATCAAGCCAAGTGGAAGAGAACAGATGTAAGAACAGTGCGCTAAGACTCCACTTCAGAAAGAGTCAAGAACAAGCAAATTCTCCAAGCCAAATCGAATCAGCACCTGCCAGGGCTATAGTAGAAAGAAGTCGTTAGGAGATACAAAGTCTCCTCAGTGATGAAAATGGTCTGGAACTACATAGGGGCCACCACATAGCACCATAAGCACAACAGCACTAGCAGAAAAGCGAACACAGAGGACTGTATATTGTATGACTCCGTTTACATATCATAAGTTAGACCATAAAGTGCAGGGGAGTGTCTTCTGACTCGGTGCCGATGCAGCTGCACAACTCTGCGTGCACTGACACAGTTCACTTCTCGTGTGTGAGCACAGCTCCACTCAGACTGAGCTAGAGCCACATCACAGGGCTAATGAAACCCCCTCACCTCTACTTTCGCACCCTACAGAGCCTGAGAACAATCAAGAGTCAATTCTTTACGATATTAATTTATTCAAAATACTAAAGTTTGTTAGTAACAGAGCCAGGATTAAAATACAAGATACTTACTTCTACCCCAGTTCTCAGAACATTAAAAAAAAAAAAAAAAGCTAGAAAAGTAAAAAAAAAAAAATCTTTTACCCAGGCTTAGTATACCTATAATCTCAAGATGCTGAAGGATTGCAACTTAAAGACCAGCCTAGCTGGACTGCAAAGTGAGACCCTGCCTCAACAAACAAAGCCAAAAGAATAAATAAATAAATAAATACAAACAACTTTAATATATATACAGATATTAAGTCCTTATAATTCTTTTAAATATTATGTTAAAACCAGCATTCTGATATCGCAGCATCTCTTTTTAAGCTCCAAATCTCTCATTAGTCATTTTGCAAATGCAAAAACATTGATTTTACTGGTAATTTAAAAAGCACTTGAAATAGCTAAAAATTTATTCATTCATCATTTATAGATTAATGTTTCCAACAACTTAATTAAACATTACCTAATTTTTCTTTTAGAAAAGACCATTACATAAAATCTTTGAAAATCTAAGAAGGCTTTACATTGCTTTATTTTATGTTTTAACATGTTGAAAATTACCTAGTGTGTGCATGTACGTGTGTGCATGTGTGCACATGCCTATGTGTGGGTACACACCTATCACGGGTCACAGGTGGAGGTGAGGATAACTTGACAGAGTTAGTTCTCTCCTTCTACCCCGTGTCTTGGGAATAAACCTGGGTCATCAAATTTGGAAGCAGGCACCGATTCCTGCAGAGCCATTTGACTGGCCTGTTTGTTATTAGCATTTTTAAAATTAGATTAAATATATGTGTCAATTAGTGCATGCGTGTGCACGTACACATGTTTGTGAAGAAAATCTATCTTTCCTTTTGTTGCTCTGAAGACAGGCTTTCACGTAGTCCAGGTGGACTTGTAACTAGCTTATTTAGAGAGGACCAATCTCAAGTCTTGTGATCCCCCTACATACACCTCTGGAGTGGCTGGGATCAATCAAACACAGGGTCTCTGTTTGCCCGGACTCTACCCACTGATCTACATATATGAATTTGATATATGAATTCATATATGTAGATCAGTGAATATATTTTATATTGATATTTTTCAAAAGTTAGACAAACCTAGAGTTGGAAGCCTATGTTCCTTCCCCCATTGGCTTTGGTCAGAGTTCTGACCACTGCAGCCAACAGAAGATGATGGAAGTGATCTTTGTAATTCCTAATTTGATTTTAAAAAAAAAAAAAAAAAAACTGAACTGATTCTATTCATCATTTCCTATCACTTAATCTGGAGTAGTAAATAATGAAACAAAGATAACCTAAATAGTATACATGGTGCTTATTATAAAAACAAGAGTTCTTATCTATAATGAGTCCTCTTTCCACAGCACCCTATAATCATACACATCTCCCTGCCAAAAAAAAAAAAAGGAATGATACAGTACATTAAAAGTTGTATTACATCTATTTGTTTTGTGTGGTTTCCCATGTGAGAGGGAGGTCAGAGGAAAACTTTCAGGGCCTTTAACTATACAGAACCCAGGGACTAAAGTCAGATCATCAGGCTTGGGAGCCTTTACCCACCAAGCCATCTCGCTAGCTGATTGGAATTTTGTTTTTAAAGTAGACAAGAAAAATCTTTTTCAATCATAATCTAACACTTTAGTATGTTACAGAAGTCAAAATACTCCCACTGGGAAGAATATTCCACCGAACATGTAAATAAAGCACAACATATATGAGCTCAGGCTTCCTTAAGCATGCAGCCCTTCATTTGCATGCAGTTCTGGACAATGGGTTTGAACAGGTGGACTGGGGATGGAACTAGTCTGGAGAACGTTTGTCTAGCGGGCACAAAGCCCTGGGTTCTGTCCCCAGCACCATATGGTAGAACATATGTACAATCTCACCACTTGGAAGTAGAGGCAGAAAGATGAAAACTTCAAGGTCATCCTACACAGGAAATGGTTTTGTTGTTAGTAGGATTCATCCTACAGCTGAGATTACCCAGGTTGTCTTGTTAATTATTACACGTCTGACTTTTTGTCTCGATAGAAAATTTAGAATTCTGTCATACTGACCTAACAGATTTTAGAGATTCTTTCTCTCTCTCCCCTCACCTCAAATATTTTTAAATAACTATTCTGCATATATACATGCAGACCAGAACCATATTGTGAATCACCATGTGGATGCTGGAAATTGAACTCTGGACCTCTGGAAGAGCAGCCAGTGCTCTTAACTGATGAGCCATCTCTCCAGTCTCAAGATTTTCTCTTTCAAAACAGGGACAAATTCAGGTTCTGTCTCTACCTTCTGGGTGATTTAAACAAAAATATTTTATTTGTTCGAGTTGATTTTAAAAAATGAATGAGAGAAAATGTAGAAGCGGTGGCAGGTGCCAAAAAAATCCCAGGACCGAGGTTACAGATGCAGAGGTGGGAGTTCAAATTCCAGGACTCAATCCCAGGACTGAGGTTACAGATGCAGAGGTGGGAGTTCAAATCCAGTTTACGTTGCACAGACTTCAGTTTTAAAAAACAACCACAAAACAAAAACCTCAGCACACAAAAAAGATACAACTTTTAAAGCTAACTTTAGAAATTAAGACTGCTACACTGTAAGAGTTCTCTGTTGAGCATGCTCAAGGCATAATAAAGCTGTCGTTTACCTGGGTGTGGTGAGGCAGGAGTATCTTAAATTCAAGGCTATCCAGAATGCCCCAGAGTTCTCCCCAAAAAAACAATACTAAACATGTAATGTTTCCCAACACGAACTTACAAAATAACCACTGCCAAAGAAAAACTTATACAATATAATAACACAGAGCAGTCATATTCTGTAGCTCTAATAAATTGATTTAAAAGCATATTACTAAATGCAAACATCAATTCATATTCAATGAGATAGTATTTCAGTGGCAGAGAAGGTAATTTGCACAGTTACCTTGATCAAGTATTTTTCCCATCTGTCTGCTGTAACGGATTTGCCAATCTTCCTCATCAACTTCAAATGGAGCTCCACCAATTCTTTTGGTACTTAAAACGAAGGAAAAACTTCTGTTAGCCAACAAAATAAAATATTTGCAAACATTTAAGATTTTAAAAAAACGAAAATAAAAACCCACTTTCTCCAGTCCTGAATCTTTTCTTTTTTTTTTTTTTTAAATATTTACTTATTTATTTATTATGTATACAATATTCTGTCTGTGTATATGCCTGAAGGCCAGAAGAGGGCGCCAGACCTCTTTACAGATGGTTTTTTTTTTTTTGAGCCACCATGTGGTTGCTGGGAATTGAACTCAGGACCTTTGGAAGAGCAGGCAATGCTCTTAACCACTGAGCCATCTCTCCAGCCCCCTGAATCTTTTCTTAAAACACAGAATGTTGCTGATTCTTTCATTAGCCCTGAATCCTTAGAAGCCTAAACTAGAGGGGAAAGGACTAAATTCCAGTTGAGACCTAACAGGGAAGTCACATTTCAAACTGTCAGTAAGAATGAAACCGACTATAAGCTACAGTAAGCCACAGGAGTTTAATGGTTACAGAAGCCCCACCCAGTGCTTGCCCCACAGGGAGGTGAGAGGGAGAGCAAAGTCAATGGCTCTGAACTTTCTGCTTCATTTTCCTGCGAACAGAAAACCACTTCAAAAAGCAGGGCTGCTTATTTATTTTTACTATGTCTAGAGATGTAGCATGGGGTAAAGCGCTTTGCCTAGCATGTAGGGGCACCAGATTCAAGCCCCAGTAATACAGTAAGTAAATACCATCAAATAAAAGCACTTAACTAAACAACTAAAATTCCTTAGAGTCCCTCATGGTATACACTTGGATTCCAGAATTCCAGACCAAGATATAGATTGATACAGTGAGAAAAGAATTGAAGAATATACATCTCAGATTGGTGGATTTTTATAAAGTAGTCTAACAGTGTTCAAACTTAATAAAAAAAAAACCGGGCTGGAGAGATGGCTCAGAGGTTAAGAACACCGACTGCTCTTCCAGAGGTCCTGAGTTCAATTCCCAGCAACCACATGGTGGCTCACAACCATCTGTAATGAGATCTGGTGCCCTCTTCTGGCATGCGGGCATACATGGAGGCCGAACACTGTGTACATAATAAATAAATAAATCTTTAAAAAAAAAAAAAAACCTAAAACTAAAAAACGTTCTTCAAGTATAACTCCTATCTGACTAGCTAAACTTCTCTGTAACATTCTAAAGATTCCTCTCCTGCTTGCCAGACCAAAAAAACAACAACAACAACAAAAAAAACGTATCTTCCACTCTCTGAATAGGACTAACCATCAGACAGCTTTAACCTCTTTAAGAGGAACTCTAGCTTCTTAGACCTTCCTTGCTGGGTTTTGAACTATTATTTAAACTTCAAAAGACTGCTCTATCTTCCCTTAGGTTCTCTGTTCTTACTGCAAACAGCCAGAGTTCCTCTAAATATCCCCCAGGTATGATTTGATTGTTTTTAAATTATATTAATTAGACCAAAGGGAAATATAGAACAGATATGCCTGCCAAATTTTGTATTTCCCAAATCCAAAATGCCACTATTAACTTGAAGAAATTACAGGTACCCTATCTAATTTTTTTCCATAATCAAATATATACACTAAGAAAATACAAAAGAAGAAGAAAAAGACGGAGGAGGAGGAAAAGGAGGAGGAGGAGGAGGAGGAGGGGAGGGAGGGAGGGGAAGGGAAAGGGGAAAGGGAAGGGAAGGAAGGGAGGGAAGGAAAAGAAAAGGCTAGACCAAAAATGTTCTTTTGCAGCAAGACTTGTCTGAGCATTGTTACCCGCCCTTGTGGTATGCTATGAGCGTTGTTCCTTTGCAGAACTACAGCTCCCAGCGTTCCTCTGGACCACGGACACATTTCCCAGAAGCCTTTGCATTCCTCGTTAAAAAGCGAGGGTCCTATGCCCCGGCAATGTCAGCACACCTGTACCTGCCCGTTGTTACCCCACCCCCATTAAAAGTGCACCCACGTGGGACCTCCGCGTGTCTGTGTTTTCTTCCCCATGTAATGTCTTTACCCTCTAACCTGCAGACAAGAAAGCCAGCCAGAAATTAGGAACAACAATGAGTATCTAAGAAAGAATACCTGCAACACTCTCCAATGTATTTGATCTAACAGGTGTTGGCTACAAATGCTCAGAGTGGGAGGTGCTGTCCTAATCTTTACAGTCCTTCCTTCTCTCGACTGCTAGCTTGAGACAGCTCGGAAGTGTAACATGTACTCTTCTAACAACCCTAAGGGTCCTGCTGGGCCTGCAGTCACAGATAACACAGACAATTACCCTAAAACCCGAAGTAGCGAGCCGAGGACAGAGTGGGGAACTCCAGACAGAAACAAGGTACACGTAAACAGCTAAACCAAAGAACAGAGAATGACTACAGACTTCAGACAGGGGCTCTACCAGGAAGACAGTCTCATGTTAAAGCGGGAGACTGCTCTGTATTTTAGAAATATCTTATGACTGAATTAGAGGAAATTAGATTTCAAAATGAAAGTTTTCATTTGCTTTAAGAGGTAGAGTACAAGGGAAAAATCTGAAGTTAACTCCAGAAAGTATCTGCGAAGACGAGAGTCCCTGGCTAGGCCTGAATGTGAAGGGGCAGCAGACACAGCAGGGGGCAGAACTGAGAGCCCTTGTAGGAAATAAATTCAACAAAAGGCTGATCAAGCCTGATGGTGCAAAGTCAAGAAAGCCCAGCGAGGTATGAGCTTAGAAAACCCAAGAGGCCAAAACAGTTCAAGGAAATCCAAAGAGGGCTCAATTCCCAGTCCTTCCAATCTATGTGGGTGGTCAGGTCCTAAAGGAACCTTGACTTTCTAATCTGTATTAAAAGACTCTGGTAATCTCCTGGAATTTTGAAATGGCAAAATACTATATAAAATTAAAACACTTTTGATGTATTTCTGTCGTGATACTGGAAACTAAGATCACCTTTAACAGTTCCTGAACATTCAGAGCTCAGTTTACCCTGACTGACTTACACCTCAACCTGCCACCTTCTAAACCCAATTTACTGCACCGCAGGCCTGCTGCCATAGTCTGTCCTCTTCATCCTCTATCCTCACACCTTAGGGTCGCCCTTCGTCCCGTTAGTTCACAAAGCGTGGTAAGGCCGCAGTTAGCAGCTGGCACTGTCTCCTCAGCTCCATAAGCACTGCAAACTTCAGTTTATGTCCTGACGACTATTCCCAACCTAACTCCCAACCCCCTTTCTCTCCACCTCCCCCCCTTGCTCTTTCCACCCCCACCTCCGGGTTTTTCAAGACAGGGTTTCTCTGTGTAACAGCCCTGGCTGTGCTAGAACTCACTCTGTAGATGACGCTGGCCTCTGCCTCCTGAGAGCTGGGACTAAAGGCGTGAGGCACCACGGCCCAACTGCCAACCCCTTTCTCTTACAACTACACGGAAATCCTCAACAGAGATCACCTTGGTCTGACAAAGGGGGTGGCTCACTCCTGAAGGCAGGGGCAGGCAGATCTCTCTGGGTTTGAGGTCAGTCTGGTCTACAAAGTTCCAGAACAGTCAAGGCTACACAAAAACAAACAAACCAAAAAGGGAACAAACCACTTTAGTCTGTTCGCTGCCCACTAACCCTGCCCTAGCCCCTGCATGTGCGCCTTGTGGAAGCCTTCCAGTTCATTACCAAATCCCTATGCGAGTCATACTCTTCTTTTTTGTTGTTTTGTTTTGTTTTTCAAGACAGGGTTTCTCTGTAGCTTTGGAGCCTGTCCAGGAACTAGCTCTTGTAGACCAGGCTGGCCTCGAACTCCCAGAGATCCGCCTGCCTCTGCCTCCCGAGTGCTGGGCATACTCATCTTTCAAAGACTGGGGAATGCAAGTCTCGGACTTTCCAATGCCAGTATGTCTTTTATTCTGAGACTGTTCAAACTGCCTGCACCAAGTGGTGACTCTGACACCAGTTTCTAAACATAACCCCCCGACAGCGCATCATACAGAAGTCATGGAAGATTTTTATTCTGTTGGCATTACTTTTAATAGGTCAAAAATCAACACACAAAAGCATGGTTTTCATTCTGTTTACAAGTCTTGTTTATTTTGATTTAACTGTATAAGTACTGAATTAATCAGGGTGCTGGCTCTTCTACGGGAAGCCACATGGAAGTGATCCTGCAGTGTGGAAGAGTACAGCCTGACACACATTCTTTAGTAACTATGGAGGGTGATTAGAATGAAAATGGCCCCACAGGCTCACAGGGAGTGGCACTATGGGAAAAGAATAGGAGGTGTGGTCTAATTGGATGAAGTGTCTCACTGTGGGTGGGCTTTGAGTCTTCAAAAACCCACTCCAAGTCCAGTTTCTCTCTTCCTGCTGCCTGTGGATTTGTACTTAGAACTCTCAACTGCCTGTCCTCCAGCACCACAACTGCCTGCAAGTCTCCGTATCCCACCGTGACGACGGACTAAACCTCCGAACTGTAAGCCAAACTCAGTTTTCCTTTATAGAGCTGCTCTGGTCGGTACCTCTTCAATAGAACACAGACTAAGATAGTAAGTAAATTTATTTAAGTTTTGGTTGCAAAGAGAACTGAAATGTGATGATCTTTAAGGGCACTGAATATATTAACAGATAAACAGGGAAACACTTCACAAGGAAAACCAAAGGGCTGGGAGATAGAAAGCTTAGCGGTACATCCCATGCTTAGCTCTCTCTTTATCCTTAGCAGAACTGCCGCAATGTGGTACTGCACACTCTAAAGCAGCTGCTTAACAGAGCACCTTAGAATGATGGCGTGTTCTGTACACGACATCCACTCAGACACACGAGAAAACCACAGAATGATGGCGTGTTCTGTACACGACATCCACTCAGACACACGAGAACACCACAGAATGATGGCGTGTTCTGTACACGACATCCACTCAGACACATGAGAACACCAGAGAATGATGGCATGTTCTGTACACGATATCCACTCAGACACATGAGAACACCAGAGAATGATGGCGTGTTCTGTACACGACATCCACTCAGACACATGAGAACACCA